TCTATCCAGACATGATCAAACATTTAGGCCACAAGGCGATCAACTGGCTTGCATTATCTCTCTCGGATGTTATTGACAAATCAGAATACCCACAGACCTTGAGAGAAGCTAAAATACTTGCCATCCTCAAACCTGGAAAACCCTCAAACGATCCATCAAGTTATCGCCCAATTTCTCTGTTGTGTTGTTTTTTTAAACTTCTAGAGAGAATACTACTGACCAGAATAGCACCCCAACTCGACCCCTATATCCCAATAGAACAAGCAGGCTTTCGACCAGGTAGAGATGCCACTGAACAAGTTCTGGCCTTAACGACATACATCGAAATGGGATATGAAAGAAAACAGAAAACTGGAGCTATTTATTGATCTATCTGCGGCTTACGACACGGTATGGCACAACGGTTTGATGTATAAGTTAGCCAAATGTATCCCTTGTAAGAAAACACTAAAGCTTTTGAATAAAATGTCTGGATCAAGAATTTATCATGTATGTTTGGGTGACGAAATAAGCAAAAAGAGAACTATAAAAAACGGTGTTCCCCAAGGTTCAGTCCTAGCACCAACTTTGTTCAACATCTATATCAGTGACTTACCACAGACCACCTCTCTCAAACTTGACTACGCTGATGACTTCGTACTATCACACCAATCTAGCGATATTAAACAAATTCAAGAAACCCTCAGCCATGATACAACAAAACTACAAATCTTTTTCAACAAGTGGTACCTAAATATGAACACAACAAAAACTGTAAGCACCCTCTTCCACTTGGACAATTACAAGGCAAATCTACAACTTGCAATACGTGTAGGCAACTCAAAATTACCATATGACTCATCTCCAAAATACCTGGGTGTGACTTTAGATCGCTCGCTAACATACAAACAGCACATTGAAAACACTGCCACAAAACTGCGAAAACGAAATGGCATAATTAAAAAACTGGCAGGAACATCGTGGGGGGCCACTCCAACGGTACTTAGGACATCATCTCTTGCCCTATCATACAGTGTTGCAGAATATTGTGCTCCAGTTTGGTCTCGCTCTAAACACGTCAATAAGCTATATGTATTGCTAAATGACACAATGCGAACAATTTCCGGGACATTGAAATCAACCCCAACCTCTTGGCTACCTGTAATGAGTGCTATAGCTCCACCTAACATACGCAGACAGGAAGCAACACAGAAACAACATCATCGCATTGAAAATACACTAATTGACACTCCACTAAAAACTATTATCCAGTCTGCCCCAACTACTTCGAGACTTAAATCACGAAAACCTTTTTATAACTCCAAGATTGAATCGTTTGACCTCAACAATGCATGGAAAGAACAATGGTATGAAAATAAACCAAGGGGTGCTGATCTAATTAAAGATCCCACAAATGTCCCTCTTCCTGGTTTCAAGAAGCTAACTCGTAAACAATGGAGCACTTGTAACCGAATAAGATCGAAACAGGGCAGAACAGCTAACAACCTATACCGATGGGGCTACAAAGACTCGCCAACTTGCCCATCATGTAGCGCCACCAACCAGAATATGGACATATCATCCTGCAATGTCCGTTCACACGCATTGAAGGCGGCTACGCAACAGTGCACAAAGCAGATGATAACTTCGCAAGCTGGCTTGATGAGACACACATGGAGGTGTGACCATACGAAACTACTACTACTATATGAGAAATTCAATCCCATCTACCGAGACGAAATAGCAAAAACAGCACTTACCCAATTTCTGCAAGTTTAAATTGACATGGCGCATCATAGACCGGAATTTTTAGTATTTTATGAGTTTATGCCGTTTATATACCTTGATTTTGTTTTGAATCAGGGGCGGATCTAGGATTTTTCAAACATCAGTCATAAAACGTCGGAGGCGCTCCGCACCTGGGGGGGTCTGAGGCTATCTCTCCTGAGAAATTTTGAATTTCAGAGCCTTGAAAATGCCATTTTCAGCTATTTAGAGCAATACAAAATGTATTTTGTGGGCATCGTTTTTGTGTAAATACAACACATTTTGGTTACGTTTTTTTCAAAAAAAAAAAAATATGAAGTGAACAGTACTTGAATGTTTTGCCAATTATTTAGGCTCATTATTATGCCAAATATATGGCTGATTAGCATGTCTAGGAACGTAAAATATATTTTACAATAATGCTATATTCAAAAACAGATATAGCCTTTAAAAATTTCTACCAAGTTGTCAGGCATAGACCCCCCTAGAGACCCCCATTCAAACCTCTATGTAATGAGTTAAGTTAGAAATTTGGTACTACAAGTGACAGTTCATAGATATAGAAAAGTCTGAGAAAAGCTCAGACTTCAAAACTTCAAACCATGCAAGTTTATTGTAACCCTTTACATATCTCCACATAAGTATTAGCAAATTCACCTTTTGAGAAAAAACTTAAAATTTTTTCTGCCAAAGATTAAGCAAAAATTATCACAGTGAAAATTTGCAGTTAAGGACAGCTTAATGCCATAAGTGTTTATTAGGCATTTCACTTGACTATTATATTCTGCAAGGTGTGCTATATAGCAGTCACTAGTAGCATTGTATTATCAAATACAAACAGAATGTAACCAACATGTCTTTAATTATATAATTACATGAATGTTAAAATTGGTCCATGTGTCATGCTTACTGGTTATGATAAATATCTTTTCATATGATCAAAGCTCGTTTAAATGTAAATCTGAAATAATTTAGTTTAGAAATTATAATGATCATCAGAAAAATTACCTAGTGATCATGAAAAATACTTTGCTGTTTTGCCAAATTTCAAGGTTCATCTGCATACATAGGAAGACATTTTTACTTTATAGAAAATGCTTTTCATACATCAATAGCCCTTTGGAATTTATGGCAAACAATCTGGTATGAGCCGTAGATTAACACAACTTTACATCTCTACATGAGGTGTTCAGTCAGAAAAGGGGACAATATGTGACATGAGACAACATTTCATGTATGTGAAATACTCAGGTTTAATACCATTCCAGTCAAATTGTCAAAATAAAAAGCTTCATGGATCAGAAGACTCAAAATCACAGGTTATAGTAAACAGCTTCTCATGTAATCAATTTTAGTTTTCTCAAATCTTAAACAATATGTAGTATAACTGTTCAATGATTGAATGATCAATGATCATAAACTGAAAAGCCCCAAACATTTGTTTATGATAAAGTAAATAATAGTATGGCGCCTTATGGCTACAGATTTTTTGTCCATTGAAATATATTTGCATGAATGTAGGATTTCGCTGCCATATAACGGTCACGATTCCCCAAGCACAAAAGAAATCATAGCTAAAAGTCCTTCGGCAACAACAATTTTAGAAGCATCAATCTGCTTACCATACGCCATATTAACATAAATCGCATCACACACTCGCATAAATTGACTTTGATATATTACATTCATGCATACACTTCAGTTGTCCTTTACTTACGATTTTGGATGTAAATTTCTGCTGATAAAACTCAAAACAATGTTGGCTTGCTTTTGAACATCAATGACTGAAATGTCGCTCGCGAGATCGTCTTGCCAAGCATTTACAATTCATCCATAAATTTTTCGCCCTCTTGAAAAAATTCCCAGTTTGGAAAGCAGCATTCGTGTCAATATATGAATTTGTAAAAGATTTCCATAAATTCCATCTGATTGTAGTTTAGTTTCTATCATGCTTTAGAAAATTATTATGAAACGATCAAACATTCAATTCAGACAGTGAGCTTGACTATGTTAGTTCAGTTGGCTATCAGTCGAAATAGGTCAAACCAATCACAGTAAGGCAAAAATTTAAACGAACCAATTACACGATGGAAATGGACTCCCTTATAGGTCCGGTCACCCCGCTTATCGGTCGAGATTATTCCAGATCGTCCACTGATCTGGCTATTGACCAATGAAATAAGCGTTTTTGGCGTTCATAGACTCCTTTATATGTCGAACCAGTCAAGCCATCCCGCTTATCAGTTGGTTATTCCAGGTCAATTAAAATTCAACTGATCTGGTTACCAAGGAGATATTCATTTATTTGTCATTAGTTTTCAATAATAAATAAAGCTGGATTTTTATCACGAAGTAAATGCGATAATAAAGTAAGAATAATTAATGACTTTTTAACTAATATGAATAGGTAATTTTTGAGTTTCAAACATCAGTCGCGCGACGGATTTGACATACTCTAGATCCGCCCCTGTTTTGAATACTACTGTTATCTTCAAATATTGAATCAAACTTTAAATCATGCCATTATTTCAGCGTATAATTCGTTTATTTTGTCTTAATTCCCGGCTCCACTCCATTGTTCACCATGTTTTTAATTAATCATCATTTCATCTCAGTAAGCAAACTAGCGAGTTTATTTGGAAAATTTTCATCCCGCCAAACTATGATCTCGTCTCCTACAGCGGAGATCTCGGCAACCGGGCCAGCCCGCTTTCTCAATGAACACGGCGTAAATATTAACACGGCGTAAATATTAAATGTATGGCAAGATGTTTCGCTAACCGGGCTCATATGAACAGGCCCTAAGACTTCAGATGCTATGCCTAATTTTGGTCACTCTCGTTCAGTTGATCATCTGTTCACGAAGCACTTATATTCTACCACGTTTGGCGGAGAAAAAGGCAATGAAGATAAAAATTGATGCCTTCTGAAAAGGATATCTGCAAAATTCTGTAAATTTTAAAAGCGATTCAAGGTGGTGCAAATCATTAGTATTGCTCTAAATTGCAAAAATAAACTGCAGTATTCTCTCAGCAGAGCTAATAGCTACTCTATCAATTACAGCAGAATTTTCTCCACTTCACTACTGACTGTACCTGTACCTTCTTCTCAGTATATTGATTCCACTTCATTCAAAACGGAAATTATAAATGTTGAGAGATTATGCTAGTCAAATATTTGACCGACCAAATTGGAATATACATGTAACAAGCATCCTGGGATACTGGAATACGTTTCGTTTTGCAAAAACAATCTAGGTTTGAATTGAACTGATTGTAATTCAAACGCGAAAGAAATATGATGATTAACTATCTACAACAGATTTAAAACGTGATCTCCGAAACAAAAAATATCAATATCAAAAATTTACAACATACGTTTACGCTGTTTGGCATTTTAAGTGTTAAGTATGTTACAGTCTCTGGAACATAAAAAGACTCAATAATACATTAGCTTCTAACAATGCTTCAATATAGGAAAAACAAACTTACAATAAATTTTCTTCAAAATTTTCGTACACAGCTTCTACGTACTTCATAATTCTAACCAAAGCTTCAACAGGATAGGGAAATATTCCTTTACATGTCATACGATCAATAGTAAAACGTAGACGAATCAAACATGATAGTGTCTGGTCTACAGAACTTTTTCTGGATAGATCAAAATTACTAACATCTCTACTATGATTAATTACATTGTCCTTAATACTGCTCGCCTGAACATGATTTTCAATGTATTTATTGATAGCTATGTGACTATTATCAATATTTTCTCTATTATCTTTATTTTTACCAGTAACAAAACAGTCTTGAGTTTCATCATTATTGACGGTACATTTGCTTTTATCATTAGCACTTTCAAAATCGCTCGTGTTCACGTGATCAATCATGCAAACTTTCATACTTTTATCTTCAATACGGGCATTATTTTCATACGTTTTGATGTCACCACTATCGTCATCCATATTGACACCACAATAATCAATCTCGTTATTTTCATCATCAGTACTAAAACTGTCGTCAACATAATCATCAGCAGCAATAGTTGCTTCAATATCTATGCTATTCTCATCAACATCGGCAGCAAAGTTATAAAAGCTGACACCGTTAATAGGTTCATCATTACGGGCGTCCAAATGATCACTTGCTTCATCACTTTCTTCACAATCAATAGTTTTAACTACTCTGTCTTCCAGCAGTGCTAATTGGACAAAACATTGCCAATCATTGGCCAGGTATCGAAGATAACAGTGAAAGTACATCAAAAAATGTGTCTCGTTTGATATCAAAAAATCGAGCAATAATGAATTGTCGAAGTCAATTGACTTCATAAATTGCAAGAAAAGCACGTGAGGATTAAGCTGGCTCCACATATCACGTATTTCAGGTATAATCTGCTTTTCGCTGAAAAGAAATCAAGCAAAATGAGCTAATATTAGCGACATGTGTCTGCATGAGCAACAGGATAGGTTATATTAGAGAAAGGAGGAGAAGAAGTGGAAACATTTCAAAGTTTAAATATTGGGAGCCAATATTACCATATCAAAATAACTACCTTTCATTATTATACTCCAGGTAGAGCTTTAGAAGACAGTAGAGTAATTCAACTAGTTCGTCATCTTGACCAGAAAATAAGTTGATTAACCAAAATGTCGTCGATTTTGGTTGTGATATATTCTTGACATAATCCATCCAATATTTAAGATGAGATTGTGGCGTGGCTTAAATAATAATGAATATAAGGTTAGTCATTTTATACATTTGAATAGTCGCCGCTGTAACAAAATTAGTTTAGTTGTCTAGTTCTACACTCTAATTCTCTTTAATGATGGAGTTTTCTTGAGACTTTTCCCAGATTACGTTTTGTTCGTCGGATTGTATTATTTGCACGCTGATTCTCTGTAATTGTTGAGTTTCGCTGAGAAATAATTAACAGAGATAATTAAATAAATTGGAAAGCATGCACATCCACGCGAATTTATATATCAGACATATCCTTGCTAAGATTCTCCACAGAAGTATAAAAGAAAGAGGATTCAAGTTAAAGGCGGTGATGACCAGCCTTCAGATGAACACACTAGTTCATCTGATAGTGCTGCTGAAATTGAACTTACCCTTTGAATCAACAACATTTGACACCATAATGACTTTAACAACTAAAAGCAAAGCTTTTCTTGAACTGACTTCATCAGAAACTGGTTTGCTATGACAAGCACTTGCCATACATTCACCTCCAACACCACCAAAATATGACTTGCCGTGACATAATGGTATACCAGTGAGTAGAAGTGGGTTTTTATTGAGTATGGTATGACAGATCCACTCTTTGGCATCCACATTTCTTTGTTCGGACATTTCACGGTTCATGTCTTTATAATCAGTCATTAGAGAACCTGCCAGCTCCAGGAAAAATTGATAAATTGTACGTCGGAAATGCAACGAGCATTCACTGAGGTTGACTTGAAGGAGTTTAGAAATGATATCAATAAACATTGTCAGCTGCAAACCATTGTTAGCTTTGTCAACACTTCTTGAGGGTAATTTTTTAAGCTCACACAAGCTTTTAAACTCTGTTTCCGCTGACTCTTTTTTGCATTCAATAAATTTAGATTCTTCTGCTGCAGCCAAAGTACAACTTCTCTCATCTGATTCAAGTTGTTCGATTCCTAAGATTTGGTTGGACGCAAGGGGATCACATGATGCAAATAGTATTTTTCCCAGAGAAAGTAGAGTGGTAAGAATTTGCTGAAAACTGTGAAAACAAGGCTGTTGCTTGAACTTGTAAGATTTTGTATGCATACCACTCAAAGATTTCAGCAAATTTACCAAAATATGATCAGTCAATTTCAACCAATGACAAAACAAAACATAGGGTACGTCTTTTTTATCATTGGGAATATAATATTTTGTGGTAGATTCATGTGATGGAGAACTCTTTTCACAAACATTCGTGCTATTTTCTGACTCTAAAAAGATTTCTTTAATCAATTCAACTGTGTAGACCAGTGACCAACTACAGGCTAGATGCCTTTGTCGAGACATGCCAAAATTGACCAGCTTATCAATAACCCTACACACTGAGGCATCTGGTAGGCATTTAGCCAGTTGCACTAAACAACAATGGCTTTGAAATGCAATGAACTGATCGTCACAGTTAAGACAGTTTAGCAAAAGTTGAAATAACTCGTTCTCATTTACGAAATTCGATTTGAAAAATGCCATTTTTGACGAGCGAGTTACAAATTTGAATTCGAGGGTCGTAAAAACGTCTCTTAATACATTTAATTCCAAAAGGATTTCGTCTCTTTTCTCTGATTTTAATTTTCCGTTTGAACCTTGTTCGTCCTTCAACTCTTCCAAATTTCTCTTCAAATTTTCAATAAATGCAAGTAAATCCTGCCGAAGCAATGTCTCGTAAATATCTGGGGAGTGATTCTGCAGCAAAGAAATGTATTTCGTTGATTTTAAAGCCCACAATGTATCATGGAAAGACGATTTTTTAGAAATTTCATATTGTGTACAATCCGCCATCTTGAATGGCATTATCAACTGAATGTTATCCACCAAAATGATGACCATATTTTCGTTATTTTTTATTTCTTTGACATGACGTTTATTTGATGGCGATATTTTTGTAGCTTTCCTTGAAAATTTTTGATTTTATAATTCAATTTAAAAATATAAGCAGGAGTGGCATTGCAGCATATAAATTTTAGGTCAGCATTGTAAATTTCAGAGAAATATCATTTATTTTTTATTTTGCGGTCCAAAGTGATATTTTTTGATTTCCAGCAATTTGATTGGCGGCCTGAGCGGGCAGCTTTTTACGATATCTGCCCTTGGGCACAAGCGATATTTTTTGGCAATGTATTTGTTTACCAAGTGAAATGTAAATTTTTAAATATGATTTAAAAGCGACTTAAATTGTTCTACGAGAAAGTAAAAAGTATTCAGATGAAAGTTATCATGGCAAGAATGAATTTTACTATCCTGACGAAGCGAAGCTTGAAGAAAACAATCCAATTTTAGTCTCAACATCAAGTTGCATCGGGCCATTGGTCATTTTACAACGCGATTTACTTCATAAGTTACCGCTTAAGAGTCATTTTTTTGAATCAATTACTACAAAGTTGGAATGGTACATTAAATTAAGCAACTATCTCCAACGAACTCTCTGGTCTCGTAAGAAGACACAACCTTTAATTACTTTAGCGTTGGGGATAATTGAACGTATTTTTTCGGACATAGTTAACACATTTTGTACTATCCTACATAACTACTCCTGTAAAATAACGACGTTTTTAAAAGTCGTCTCATGTCTTCTCTAGTGAAATATTAACTTTTTAAAATGTCGTTCATGTCGTCTGTAATGACTACATCAACTACTTTAACTATATTTGTCTACACAACGTACATTTCGTGATTAGTCAAGATGTAAGTACTTCACGTTTGCTAAAGTACTTAAACACCTTTTCCTAAACAAAAATTAAATTAATCATGTTATCATGTAATCTTGTAATCATGCAGTCATTTTGGTAGAAAACGACATTTGAAAAGCTGTCGCTTTATAAGAGTTGAAACTTAACAGAAAGTCATCATTTTATAGAAGTTGTTGTTTCAACGTTCTTTATTGTCTCTTTTTGTCTACCTTTACGTCTACCTTTATGTCTACCTTTATGTCTACCTTTATGTCTTACTTTATGTCTACCTTTGTGTCTATCTTTATGTCTACCTTTATGTCTACCTTTATGTCTTACTTTATGTCTACCTTTATGTCTACCTTTGTGTCTATCTTTATGTCTACCTTTATGTCTACCTTTATGTCTTACTTTATGTCTACCTTTATGTCTACCTTTGTGTCTATCTTTATGTCTACCTTTATGCCTTACTTTATGTCTACCTTTATGTCTACCTTTGTGTCTATCTTTATGTCTACCTTTATGTCTACCTTTGTGTCTACCTTTATGTCTTACTTTAGGTCTACCTTTGTGTCTTTTTGTTTGCATTTATGTCTCCCTTTTGTTGGCAAACAGAATTTCAAATGTCGTCATTTAATTAGAAACTATATTTGATAGGTTATTTGATAGGTTTTTTTTGTTATTTTATAGACGACATTTGAATAGTTGTAATTTTACAGGACTCGTCAATTTCAAAAAGTCGTTTTTATAATTTGAAATTTCACGAGTCGAAAAAAGAACGCCGTAAGCAAAAATTTACTGTCCCCCAGCACCCACCTCCCCACCCCTCTGTAATTTCCTAGACCGTCCCGGTGTGTTATTTGGTACAAAAGTTTGTTGCAATTTGCAATCAACGAGATTTAATTCACCTTGATTAATTATAAAAACGAATAAATTAGAATATTTACAATAAACTATATCCGGTTTAGCATAATAAATATAAGCCATATAAATGCGGAAGTAGTTATAATTAACAAAAAAGAACAAAATACAAAATGTCAGCGCCAAGAAGATCTGCCCCTCCTCCACCAAGCCGGCCTGGTAACGTGTTTTTTGAGTTGCTTTCTATTGGAAAAGATTAGATTAAAAAGTTTGGCGTTTTCTTTAGGTCATGTTCAGGTCGTTCGCGCTCTTTATCGCTACGAAGCACAGCAGGTTTACTATACTTTATATTGACGTCGAGGAAGTTTGATCGTAGAAGCAAATATAGTTAGGTTTATGCCTAATATTTTAATCCTTTTTTATGTTTTTGTAGAAAGATGAATTGAGTTTTGAGGAAGAAGATGTTCTGTACATAATAGACAAGGTTTGTTCACTTAAGTGCTATTGTACATTGTGATGGTTTAAGCAGGTTCAATATATGTTAAATTGTCAATATTAGCAATTGCTTTCTTGTCTAAACACGATTTCTTCACGCGAATTTAGACGCAAGGAGAATGGTGGAAAGCTAGAGTTCGAAACAAAGTGGGCTTGATACCATCAAACTATGTCGAAGCTCACACAGAAGCCGTCGAAAATCCACTTCACGAAGCAGCGAAGAGAGGTGTGGTAGCCGTAATGAAACCATTTCATGATATTTCACAATAGAATTGCACGAATTACATGCAATTTGAGCTATCATTGTGTTTAACATTACAGGAAACATCAACTTCCTGAATGAATGTCTTGGAAACAAAGTATGATGTCATAATATAATTGGCTAGATCCAATTTTAATGATATTATAGTACTTATACCTTTATATAAACTCTGGCAAAAAGTAACTTGCCTTTCTAACAACATATTAGCCAAAATACATGACAAATCTGACAGTGATCTCAAATCCTTCTGATCGAAATCCATAAAGTGTAACATGAATGAAACTCAGATAAATAAATCAATTTCAGGTATCTGTAAATGGACTTGACAAGGCTGGATGTACAGCTTTGCATTGGGCTTCTCAATGTGGTCATGCAGGTATTATACTGATTGATTACCTGTAATAATCTTTACTTCACAAAAATAACATGCTTTGATTGGCTTAGAAACATTTCGGGCAGCCATTACTATAGGGACTTGGTGCATATTTCTTGGCAAAAACTTTACCAATGGTTAATGATGGTTAATAAGAGCGTCATATTTTGCCAATCATAATCAAACAAATTTCATTATTCTAGAATGTGTTGATATATTGCTGAAGCAAAACAGAATTGAAATTAATAGTCAGGTTTGAAAACCAAGTCAATTGCCAATTGAGTTTCAAGACACTTGAACTATTTTTTTATTTAGAACAAGCTTGGAGACACACCGTTGCATTCCGCTTCATGGAAAGGGCATTCAGATATTGTTAAAATGCTCTTAGACAAAGGTTTGCATTGGAAAGAATTTCTACCCAATAAATCAAGCAATGTGAACTCATTAGTGAAAAATATTTAGGAGCCAACACAATGATCAAGAATAATGATAAAAATACTCCATATGATTTGGCCAGAAATCCGGAATGTGCAGTTTTGCTTCGAGGTGCCTTAGGTAGGAGAGAGCAATTTTAATCTTACGTGGAAAAACATGATAAGTATAAATGTATTTTTTCTTATTCTTTATTTTTTAGCTGTTGATACAAATGATGACTATGGTGATGACGACAATGATTCAGATTAACAAAGAACTATTTATCAAACAGAACATTTTTTTAAAAAAATTAGCTTAACAATTTTGGCATACATTATTGCAACATTGAAGTTCTTTTCTCATCTCAATCCATCCATGTACACCATGTACTCAGTTCACCATAAGTATCCATGTGCAACAAATACTGACTAGTAGAGAGAACTTAGAGTAGTTGTTTCATGGTTTCCATCAAATCTTGCATTTCAAGAATTGTATTATCAATGAATTAATGTTTTGTTTTGTACTATATCAAACATGTTGTCTTTAATAAATGTAATTGACACTTAAAAACTTCTCCACCTGCCCAATGATGGCTTCAACTATCTATTCTTCGTCAAATTATTCTTTAAACTGCTCGTTTTGTGGACGATTGGAGGTAAAACTAAGGTATTCTTAGCCATGTAAGTCATCTGTCCTTGCTCATTCATATTTTCATCTCTTAAATGCTCTTTCAACTTTTTATTTAAAGCCAAAGATTGCTTCAAAAAGTCGTCCAGCTCTTCCTCAGAAAGCACATTCAAAGCGTCTAACGTCGTCGAGTGTTCGTGTGGAGAGAAATCCTTCAATTTTTTGTCAGGGCCAGCTTCTCGGTTTGAGAAAGATTTTTCGGTTAAAATAGATGAACTTGTCTGCGTCCGTTTCACTTTCTGTCGCGCAATACGTTCTCCAGTAAAAGCAGGAGTCCAATCTGATGACATTTCGGATTATTTATTGTTTTATTTGGATTTAAATGAATGCAAAACTAAATGAGCTTAGTCCTTTCAAATGTGATATCTTTGTTTCGTTCGTTCGTGGACATTCTTCCTGTACGTAACTATGGTAACAAAACCTCATCCTCTGTTATCCATCATTTATCCATAACTTGATAAAACCAGTGGTAAAACACATTACTATTTATATATATTTGGAAAATTTTGTACATTTTCACAAGAAGTTCACTTTTTACCCACACGAACATCGGGGTATAACTCTACATCACTATCGCTATCCATCAAATAAAGTTCCTCTATATTCTGATGGGATCTATTACAACAGCTCACTGTGCTACACCAATCCTCAGACGTCCTGTAGTTTCCCAGTGATATATCCATAATGTCATACTTGGGCTTACTCCTAGATCTAAGAACTCTACACACTACACATGCTGCTGCAAAAATCACACAAATTGTTATGCTTAGGGGTACGAGAATCATCAATGCATTGCTGGAGTCGTCCAGCTGTCGAAAACCGTCGGGATTTACCGTAGTGACGTTGTCGAAACCTTGCGGAAAAGTCGCATTAACAATATCGGCATCAACTTGGCGCGCGAAATTCTCGTCTTCCGAAGCTAATTGAAGAAATGTAAGAAATGATTGGTTAATGACCAAACGAGACAACCTTAATAACCAATCAAAATGGTTTCCTGGATTCGCATCATTCATACCTGCGATCGAATTTCGGAATTTCCACACCTTATTAGGGCCGATCTCAGCGACAAAATATTGGAGCCATTTGAGACCAAATCATGTGGCTGTGAAAATCCCTGGAAACGAAAATCAATCTAAGATGAAATCGTTAAGGTTTTGCTATGAACTCATCAGCGCATGCTCATAGAGCCTCCCATCAGTGTCTGCACTAAAGATTTTACAACATTATAATCGAGTTTTATGTGTTAAAAAAGAAACTGAAGTCGCCATTTATTCCCACCTTAGTGGAAGGAGGGCTCCATGTTGCAAAAATCTTTCCACTCTCTGGGTCGATTGAGAATCCTTGCACTTTAACATCAACTCCGCTATTAACTGCATATAAAAGACCATCTACACAAATGTACACAAATAAGAGAAGGCAGTTATTTCGCGACTATCAGGATTTATCTTAAGTGTGTATGAAACGAAATTCTACAACACACAACTTTCTGATTACGTTGCAAAGAACATTTAAAATGACTTAATAAATTTTTCAACGGAACTGCCCTTTCTTCTTCCTCTAGACAATTAACTTTGTTAACGATAAAATTGACTTCACTCTGACATCACTCAAGAAATAAAAGATGTTTACTGTGTTTGTAAGGCTTATGCAAACCAAGTAGACCTTTGGGAGAACTCGAGAGCAGATCAGTGCAAGCCCGAGACAGAAGGTCGAGGGTTGCACCTGCTCGAGAGTTCTCGAAAAACATCTTTTATTTCTTTCATAAAATAACAATAATGCAAACTTTTCCTCTAAAATGTATTCATGATCGATTTGCAAATTCTCTTTGACTGATTGATTGTTATGATTGATTTGATTGGTTGAGCTCAGATCTGTTTTGCACAGGCTAATGCAAACACGGCTATAGACCAATCAGCGCACGCGTTTTATTATTTTTATTTTATAAATTGCATTATGACATTTAAAGGAGCAACATTTTTACTGCGTTGGAACGTTTAGTTGATAAGTATAAGATTTAATGAATACACCTGTAGATGAATGATGGTGGTGCATATATAAGTGTATATATTGGTAATATTTTGTGGTAAACTGTTGATGAAAAGTACAATTTTCTGAAGCTAACTATGTAATGTGATATATTTTACATCAGTATATTTTATTGGTAAATATTTTTTTAAAGTAATTTATCGTAAACTAAGCTGTATTTTAATTTTGCTGAAAATAACATGTGTGTTGAAATGAAGTTGATCATCGTAGTCGTCATAATACCTGGAAACTGAGCAAACTATCCTAACACAATTTAAGTGATTTTAAAAGTTCATTGACATACAATTATCAAACTGAGCGAGAAAACTTCCTGTCATTATAAACACTTTAATACTGATAAAAAACCCAAAAACCAGGATATGCATTATATACTGCCTACCTTTCTCGTTGAAATCAACGGCGAACACCAGGCCTCCGAATTTTGGTGAAGAAATTTCCTTGTGAAATTTTCCATACGTATCAAAACATTGAACACGGCCATTTTCTCGGTCCGCGACGTACAACATGGATCGTTTATGGTCCAGAGCCAGACTATGGGGTATGTTGAAGGAACTGGGAACTCGTCCTACAAAATGACATAAAATAGAAAGTTAAATTACTTGAAACGAAGACAGTAGCAGTGGCTTGTTTTTGTCAAAGATTACGGTGTACTCACCAAACTGAATTGAAGATTTTCCCCAAACTTTCATGAGTCGACCTTGCGACGAAAACTTCATAATTCTCGAATTACAATATCTGCAAAATATTTTATGTTTTCTGCATTCGTTGAATTCATTCGTTAACGACTTTGTAACATTTTTTCGATATTTATATTTACTAAAACTGCGTATGGACGAGAGGTTCTCGCCACTATAGTAGTTTACTCCAGTTAACTACTATAGTGGCGAGAATCTCTCGTCCATACGCAGTTTTAAGAAATTTGACTCGTCTCCAATCCCTGTGGGCTTGGTAACTCAACATGTAGAACGGCGGACTAGTATCCCGAAGGTGCGAGTTCAAATCTCGTCCAAGTCACATGTTTTTCATGTGCATATTAACACCGTGTTAGGATTAATATATTTTGTATTTACTAAGTACCCATGTATTTAATACTGATAATTACAATAAATGCATAATATCTAAACTATATTTAACATTTATATACAATATTCAATATTTGTATATGTCAGTAATTTGTAGATTTCTGTTTCCGAACTTTTTGAAACATTTAGAATGACAAAATGGTACATACAAAAACTGCCAAACAAGATAACTTTTCAGATTCTGGTATTGCACACCATATTTTTCATACAATACTTCAATCACCAAATTTAGCACACACCCCCTTTTCCTCTAGTAGTTTCCCTTTGAAACATTGCAAAATCTTTTGATGAAATCATAACTATGCACATAACAATATGCAAACGCTAATTGAGCGTCATCCATTGAGATAAGCGTTAAGTCGTTTGAAAGTTACAATTGTAAAAATCAAAATTGTAGCGTACGTATGTGATGCACGAATTACTATGGGCTAGCACTTTTGTGAGAAAATTTTAATCAGATCTCAGCCTCTTTACATATATTTAGTCTAAAATATGTGTACCAAGAAAGTAGAGGAAGCTTCAACAGCGAGCACGAATAGAAGCAAGCAGTATCAAATGCATTCACCACTTGATGTGATTGGTCAATAACATATTGGAAACTAATCAAGTGCATTCACCACTTGATGTGATTAGTCGTATATAAAAGAGATCGCGAGGGAGACCAAGTCTTATCCGAAAAAACCTAGAAACTATGATGCTCGACTTAGCTTGTGTAAAAATACCTCTTTCGAGCACAATTAAATGAAGTAAAAAAAACAGGATATCACGTTTTATACTGCGCAAGCCTCAGAATACTTCTAAATACCATATAGCTATATTTCCTTAAACATTTTATAAATATTGCCTTACCCGTCCGCAACATAAAATACTCCAGATATTTCCACAGCGACGTCGGTAGGTTTACAGAAATGCTCATGACCGGAGCCTGGGAATAGTTTTTCTCCTAAAACCAGCGAGGGTTTTTTATATTCACCGCGAGGAAACTTGAGCACCTTGAAGAATGAAAATGAACACTGATATGAACACACGAAAGATAGTGTAAATTTTTCTATAAATCTCACAAGATTTCGGGTCCAAATAGCTGAAAAATTTAACCAAATCAACTAAAAATGGTCGACCAACTTTACTCGGTCTGTCTGAAACGACAATTGTCATAAGGCCGGAATAGTTCATACATAAGGAATAATTGTTTAGAACAGATTAAAGGTAGTTACAGCCATTTGCAATTGACCATGCGAGGTGCATAAATTAAACAGTTGTCATAGTTTCAAATCTTGACTTTACTAACGGTTAACTTGACGTTACTATACAGCAAACTTGACGTTACTATACAGCTAACTTGACGTTACTATACAGCTAACTTGACGTTACTATACAGCTAACTTGACGTTACTATACAGCTAACTTGACGTTACTATACAGCAAACTTGACGTTACTATACAGCAAACTTGACGTTACTATAAAGCTAACTTGACGTTACTATACAGCTAACTTGACGTTACTATACAGCTAACTTGACGTTACTATACAGCTAACTTGACGTTACTATACAGCAAACTTGACGTTACTATACAACTAACTTCATGTTACTATACAACTAACTTCATGTTACTATACAGCTAACTTGATGTTACTATACAGCCAACTTGACGTTACTATACAACTAACTTGATGTTACTATACAACTAACTTGACGTTACTATACAGCTAACTTGACGTTACTATACAGCTAACTTGATGTTACTATACAGCTAACTTGACGTTACTATACAGCTAACTTGACGTTACTATACAGCTAACTTGACGTTACTATTACTATACATCTAACTTGACGTTACTATACAGCTAACTTGACGTTGCTATACAGCTAACTTGATGTTACTATACAGCTAACTTGACGTTACTATACAGCTAACTTGACGTTACTATACAGCTAACTTGACGTTACTATACAGCTAACTTGACATTACTATACATACTATACTTACTTGACGTTACTATACAGCTAACTTGACGTTACTATACAGCTAACTTGACGTTACTATACAGCTAACTTGACGTTACTATACAGCTAACTTGACGTTACTATACACCTAACTTGACGTTACTATACATCTAACTTGACGTTACTATACATAACTTGACGTTACTATACATCTAACTTGACGTTACTATACAACTAACTTGATGTTACTATACAGCTAACTTGACGTTACTATACAACTAACTTGACGTTACTATACAGCTAACTTGACGTTACTATACAGCTAACTTGACGTTACTATACAGCTAACTTGACGTTACTATACAGCTAACTTGACGTTACTATACAGCTAACTTGACGTTACTATACAACTAACTTGATGTTACTATACAGCTAACTTGACGTTACTATACAGCTAACTTGACGTTACTATACTGCTAACTTGACGTTACTATACAGCTAACTTGACGTTACTATACAGCTAACTTGACGTTACTATACAGCTAACTTGACATTACTATAAAGCTAACTTGACGTTACTATACAACTAACTTGACGTTACTATACAGCTAACTTGACGTTGATATACAGCTAACTTGACGTTACTATACAGCTAACTTGACGTTACTATACAGCTAACTTGACGTTACTATACATCTAACTTGACGTTACTATACATCTAACTTGACGTTACTATACATCTAACTTGATGTTACTATACAACTAACTTGATGTTACTATACAACTAACTTGACGTTACTATACAACTAACTTGACGTTACTATACAGCTAACTTGACGTTACTATACAGCTAACTTGATGTTACTATACAACTAACTTGACGTTACTATACAGCTAACTTGACGTTACTATACAGCAAACTTGACGTTACTATACAGCAAACTTGACGTTACTATACAGCTAACTTGACGTTACTATACAGCTAACTTGACGTTACTATACAGCTAACTTGACGTTACTATACAGCTAACTTGACGTTACTATACAGCTAACTTGACGTTACTATACAATTAACTTGATGTTACTATACCACTAACTTGATGTTACTATACAACTAACTTGATGTTACTATACAGCTAACTTGACGTTACTATACAGCTAACTTGACGTTACTATACAGCAAACTTGACGTTACTATACAGCTAACTTGACGTTACTATACAGCTAACTTGACGTTACTATACAGCTAACTTGACGTTACTATACAGCTAACTTGACGTTACTATACAACTAACTTGACGTTACTATACATCTAACTTGACGTTACTATACAGCTAACTTGATGTTACTATACAACTAACTTGACGTTACTATACATCTAACTTGACGTTACTATACATCTAACTTGACGTTACTATACAACTAACTTGACGTTACTATACAGCTAACTTGACGTTACTATACAGCTAACTTGACGTTACTATACAGCTAACTTGACGTTACTATACAGCTAACTTGACGTTACTATACAGCTAACTTGACGTTACTATACAGCAAACTTGACGTTACTATACAGCAAACTTGACGTTACTATACAGCTAACTTCAGGTTACTATACAGCTAATTTGACGTTACTATACAGCTAACTTGACGTTACTATACAGCAAACTTGACGTTACTATACAGCTAACTTGACGTTACTATACAGCTAACTTGACGTTACTATACAGCAAACTTGACGTTACTATACAGCTAACTTGACGTTACTATACAGCTAACTTGACGTTGCTATACAGCTAACTTGACGTTACTATACAGCTAACTTGACGTTACTATACAGCTAACTTGACGTTACTATACAGCTAACTTGACGTTACTATACAACTAACTTGACGTTACTATACAACTAACTTGATGTTACTATACAGCTAACTTGATGTTACTATACAGCTAACTTGACGTTACTATACAACTAACTTGACGTTACTATACATCTAACTTGACGTTACTATACAGCTAACTTGACGTTACTATACAACTAACTTGACGTTACTATACAGCTAACTTGACGTTACTATACAGCTAACTTGACGTTACTATACAGCTAACTTGACGTTACTATACAGCTAACTTGACGTTACTATACAGCTAACTTGACGTTACTATACAGCTAACTTGACGTTACTATACAGCTAACTTGACGTTACTATACAGCTAACTTGACGTTACTATACAGCTAACTTGACGTTACTATACAGCTAACTTGACGTTACTATACAGCAAACTTGACGTTACTATACAGCTAACTTGACGTTACTATACAGCTAACTTGACGTTACTATACAGCTAACTTGACGTTACTATACAGCTAACTTGACGTTACTATACAGCTAACTTGACGTTACTATACAGCTAACTTGACGTTACTATACAGCTAACTTGACGTTACTATACAACTAACTTGACGTTACTATACAGCTAACTTGACGTTACTATACAGCTAACTTGACGTTACTATACAGCTAACTTGACGTTACTATACAGCTAACTTGACGTTACTATACAGCTAACTTGATGTTACTATACAGCTAACTTGACGTTACTATACAATTAACTTGACGTTACTATACCACTAACTTGACGTTACTATACAACTAACTTCACGTTACTATACAGCTAACTTGACGTTACTATACAGCTAACTTGACGTTACTATACAGCAAACTTGACGTTACTATACAGCTAACTTGACGTTACTATACAGCTAACTTGACGTTACTATACAGCTAACTTGACGTTACTATACAGCTAACTTGATGTTACTATACAACTAACTTGACGTTACTATACATCTAACTTGACGTTACTATACAGCTAACTTGACGTTACTATACAACTAACTTGACGTTACTATACAGCTAACTTGACGTTACTATACATCTAACTTGACGTTACTATACAACTAACTTGACGTTACTATACAGCTAACTTGACGTTACTATACAGCTAACTTGACGTTACTATACAGCTAACTTGACGTTACTATACAGCTAACTTGACGTTACTATACAGCTAACTTGACGTTACTATACAGCTAACTTGACGTTACTATACAGCAAACTTGACGTTACTATACAGCTAACTTGACGTTACTATACAGCTAACTTGACGTTACTATACAGCTAACTTGACGTTACTATACAGCAAACTTGACGTTACTATACAGCTAACTTGACGTTACTATACAGCTAACTTGACGTTACTATACAGCAAACTTGACGTTACTATACAGCTAACTTGACGTTACTATACAGCTAACTTGACGTTGCTATACAGCTAACTTGACGTTACTATACAGCTAACTTGACGTTACTATACAGCTAACTTGATGTTACTATACAGCTAACTTGACGTTACTATACAACTAACTTGACGTTACTATACAACTAACTTGATGTTACTATACAACTAACTTGACGTTACTATACAGCTAACTTGACGTTACTATACAACTAACTTGACGTTACTATACATCTAACTTGACGTTACTATACATCTAACTTGACGTTACTATACAACTAACTTGACGTTACTATACAGCTAACTTGACGTTACTATACAGCTAACTTGACGTTACTATACAGCTAACTTGACGTTACTATACAGCTAACTTGACGTTACTATACAGCTAACTTGACGTTACTATACAGCAAACTTGACGTTACTATACAGCAAACTTGACGTTACTATACAGCTAACTTGACGTTACTATACAGCTAACTTGACGTTACTATACAGCTAACTTGACGTTACTATACAGCTAACTTGACGTTACTATACAGCTAACTTGACGTTACTATACAGCAAACTTGACGTTACTATACAGCTAACTTGACGTTACTATACAGCTAACTTGACGTTACTATACAGCTAACTTGACGTTACTATACAGCTAACTTGACGTTACTATACAGCTAACTTGACGTTACTATACAACTAACTTGACGTTACTATACAACTAACTTGATGTTACTATACAGCTAACT